TTTTTGGTTGTATCTTTACCAGGCTTTGGTATGAGAGTGATGCTGGCTTCATAGAAGGAATTTGCTTTTCTCATGCTTTATAAAAAATGAAAATCAATTGAAAAACATGAAAATATTTTTAAAAGTATAAAATGCTGCATAAAATAAAGTCTATAAAGTCCCATTTTTTGTTTGATTAATATCTGAGAGGTCAATAAAAGCTATATTTAACATAATCATCTTTTATCACATGAAAACAAAGTGATAAATGTTTTACAAATGACTCTGAAATTTCTTTTGTACAGTATAGATTGTAGCTAACAATATTGTATAATGGGCAAGCAAAAAAAAGAGAAAAGAACAAAACCAGTATATAATCCTTCAGTATTCTTTTTCAGTTTCTTGTAGTGGATAATTAAGTGGGTCTGTTCACCTGCATGCAGTGCTACAGTATACATACACACATATGTGCATGTGTATGTATAGCTATATATTCTTACTGTGTCAAACCAAAACAAGTTTATTTCACAACATTCTTTTCTGTGTAGTTGTAGTTGAGGTTATTTATTTGCTTGTTTGAGGCCCATTAATATATTCATTTTGAAGCATGCCTTTTGACAATTGAGTTTTTTACTTAGATGAATACTCCTTGAGCACAGGAGAACAGAAAAAACCCAGCAGTGTTTAATGTACTTTTAATAAATTCATTTGTGGCTTTATGTTGACTGGAGAGTCACTTGAATTTTATGGAGTACCGTTCCATTAAAGAAATATAAGCTCGCAGCAGAAGTAATTAAGAATAAATCCCTTTCCTGTTACCATTTTTCTTTTCAGTGGTATTAATGAGAACACACAGCTCCCATTTTCCTCAGAGCTGTGCTTCTCTGTCCTCTCTTCTCACTGTCTCCTCAAAAGCAGAACTTCCTTCACATCCCGTTTGTCTTTTTAAAGAACTTTTAATCTTCTATCCAGAGATAATGAAAGTAGTTATTTTCTGCTGGCATGGCGATTTCTACTTTCTACAGCAAAGAGCAGAGAAAAAGCACCTCTGACCATGAAGGGCTTCCCTGTGGGTGGAGGGAGATTTGTTCATGGGGATTGTCTCAGTAATAATTATGGAGTCGCCACACACTGCATGTTAACAAATGGTTCACTAATTCTATTTAAATGATTTTCTTTAGCCAGCGTCTGCTTCAGACAATTTCTTAAACTTACCAACTGTAGACATTTGAAGATTCTCTTTTGTCAATGACATAAACTGATTTGCTACACTTTTAACATCTTGCTTAGTACTTTTTCCTTTATCTCTCTCTCCCTCTGTGCGTGTGTGTGTGTGTGTGTGTGTGTGTGTGTGTGTGTGTGTGTGTGTCCTTGCTGTTGCAATGATAAGTACCATGATCAAAATCAACTTAAGGAAAGAAAGGGTTACTTCAATTTACACTTCCAGATCATAGTGCATCACTGAGAAAAGTCAGGGCAAGATCTCAAACAGGAACGGAAGCAGAAACTATGGAAAAGCTGCTGCTTATGGGCTCGCTGTCTGGTGCACTCCCTTATAGGGCACAGGCCCACTTGATTAGGGATGGTGCTTTGCCCACAGTAATCAAAGACATTTCCTCACATACATGGTCACAGGCCAATCTGATCCAGGAAATTCTTCAGTTGAAGTTCCCTCTTCCCAGCTGATGGCTGGTTGTGTGATGTTGACAATAAAACTCACCAGGACATAGAGGGAATCAACTGGAGGCCAAACAAGAAACATTTGTGAGGAGGAAGAAGAGTGCCCAGTGACTGTCGGAGAGTAACTATATGAGACTTTCAGCTCATGTGGCAGTACTGACAATTTAGAGAAAAAGGTGGTTTGTGTCCTGCTATGATAAAAGTAGAAAGAGGATTGGACCCTGCATGGATATCCAGAACATAGGTACCCCAAAATTATGCACCTAGAGATATGGATCAAATGGAAAGTGAAAGGTATGAAAGTGAAATAAGGAACTAGGGAATTCAAGTAATTAGGTTGAAATTCTTTAAGTTCATTAAGAACTTCTGTAAGTTTTTTTTTGACTTTATGTTAACTGCATCAAATAAGAGAAAGCCTTTTCTTTACATTTTGGGGAATAACCGAGGAGGAATTACTCTCACTGCCCCATTATCTTTGCCCTTCTCATTTGCGAAGGCAAGGATTTTATTTGCAATCAGGCATGATTAATCTTAAACAACAAAATCTAATTTTCCTTTCAGTGCCCCTGACAAAATATTTATTTTTTAAAATCCCCAAAGCCATCCAGGGGCTGGGACATGGCTTCATCAGTAAAGTGCTTATGACACAGCATGAGAACCTAAGTCCTGATCCCTAGCATTCATGTAAAAAAAAAACAAAAAAAAACTAGAGCAGTACCATGTGCCTGGGGAAGCAGGGATGGTCTGTCAGATCCCTGGGGCTCATTGGCCACCCAGCCTAGCAGAATTAGTTAGTAGTTAGGTCTGGTTCAATGAGAGACCCTGTTTCAAAAAATAAAGTGGAGGGTAATTGAGGAAGATGATGACCCCTTTTCAAAAAAAAAAAGGGAGGGTGATTGAAGAAGATGACAGATATCTGCCTCTCCCCCTAACACACACACACACACACACACACACACACATACACACACACACACACACACATACACACATGCACACACACATATGCACAAACCCATATGAGCATGTACATACACCACAGCTACCTTATGATAAAGCTTGGCTTAATTCTTCCTGGTTTGTCCAAATTGAAACTTCAGTTAAAGACTTCAGAAAATGACTTTAGAAAAATATGTGTGGGCCTCTGAAGATACATGTGTGTAAAATTATTTGATACTTACAGATCAAACAACTTGAGCTTACACAGCAAGCTTCTTTTGTCTGCAGTGGGTTTCTTTGCACTTGCTAGTTTCTTGTTAGCTGTAGCCTTTTTGCCCCCCAAAGGCCCCTTTAAGTACACTAACATGAACACTCTTCACTCACTCCAAAACATTGGTTTGTTTGTTTTGTTCTTTAGAGATGGGTCATGTTATATACCTATTAACAGTCTAGGCCAGGGTGACCTGAAATTGCAGTAATCCTCAAATTCTCCCGTCTCTGCTGCCCAAGTACATCAGTGCCCACCTACTCCACTCCTCTTGTTTGTGGCCCCTGTTCATCTCATTTCCCTGTGGAGATTCTAGTCTGGTGAAGAATCATCTCTGGCTTTTGATTTTGAATATGGGTTTAGGATCAATAGAATTGTTGTTCTTGTTTTTTCAATGGGCTATTATCAGGACTGTGCAATGAATTTTCTTGTATGGTATCCAGAGAGTTCTTTGAATGTCTTTCTAACATTCTGTTCAAGTCTGTATTGAACATCTTGTGCATGGGAAGGTTGTAGACATTGCCGAGGGGAGCAATTTTGCACCAAATGCCATATAATTCATTTAACTCATGAAAAGCGTTTTCAACCCAAATGCAGAACCATCCAACATGTCCACCAGAAGTAAGTTCAAAATGTTGCTTGTTTACATTAGCAGGGAAATTCTAGGGATGGTCCTAGGGCCTGATGATATCATTGCCCTCATTGTCACTCATACATGTTCCTCTGAGCTGGTTCCTCATCCTGTGCTGGCCGTTTTCATTCGCTGGGAAGCACAAATCTTTTTAATATCATTCCAGGCCTTAAATTTCTATCTTTCCTTTTTGTATGTGAACATGTGTACCTGTTCATGTGTGTGCATGTGTATGTGAGTGTACACATACCTGTGTGCACATGAAGAGGTCAAAGGTTGGCATCATGCAGTCTCATCCTCAGTTGCTCTCTACCTTATTTATTTATTTATTTATTTATTTATTTATTTATTTATTTATTTTTCATTGCAAGTGGAGCTTGATGATTTTCCTAGATTGGCTGGCCAGTGAGCTCTGGGATCTGCCTCTCTCCACCCCAATGCACTGGGATTACAAATGCATACAGCCACACCTGGCTTTTCATATGGGTGCTGGAGATTGCAACTAAGATCCTCATGTTTGTGCAGCAAGTACTTTAACCATTTTAAAGCAAGTACTTTAAACTGTTTCTCTAGCCCAAAGGCTCTAAATATCTCAAGAAGCAAAACAGCTTCTATTTATTTATTTATTTATTTATTTATTTATTTACTTATTATTTTATGTGTAATTTTGAACTTTCAACATTATCATTCACCACCAGAGGATTCAGAAAAGTGACCTTAAGATACTATCGCAGATAGTCAGTACAGAGAAGGTAGCATATCATTTGGCTTAACATATATCAGCAGTGCTAGGTTTTGGTCAGTGCAAACATGTGGCATCCTCAATGCACATTTTCAAAAGTGACCAGCCAACAGTGATTCTTGACACATTTAACTTGGTATTTGCGCTACAACTCTACCAGAACTCTAATATTAACAACAGTATGTGATGGGATAGTTCAACAACAGCTGTCTGTTGTTTTGTGAAAATTGATATGAGCAATATTCACAATATTTGGTCAAATGGGAACTTTAAACACAGCAAGAAAAGTGCAATGCTTGAGATGACTTTTGTGAGAACTGCACAGCAGAGGATAGCTATACTGACAATGAGCAGAAGAGAGAGTCATGCTCTTCTCAACCTGACAACGCCCCAAACACGGTAAATTTTAGCACAATTTTCAAAACAGAAATGTTAATTTTCATGTAAGCTTTACTTTATGTTAGATTATTTGGAGACATCTTGTATTTTCACATGGTGACAAAGTACATAAATCAGTTGACAAAACCAAGCAGGAGGAGAGGTATCTCACAATCTTAAATATCTGGCAATAGAACTGTCCTGAAGAGCTCAGGAAGAGTGCCCTGTCTTCTTTCTAGTATCATACTCTCAATAGATCAGGTTGATGAGACTAGTATATTTTGGTTAAAAAACCACCATCAGAGACATAATTAACAACCACAACCATTAAACAAGGATTTTTGTGACAGATTCATTCCATTAAGGAAAAAAAAAAGGCTCACCTTAATGTACAATGGCTCTCTAAGATGATCAATAAGAATGCATGCTTTTTCCTCCCACACAGGATTGAGATTCTTGTGTATAGTTTTACTTCTAAAAACTTCTTTTCTTCCAATTTTAAACTTCACATATGGATCACTTGTCCCTGTTAAAGAGATACAGATGATCCACATTAGCCATGCCTTTCCGTGGAAGCAAGAATCTGCTCATCGGAACAGCAGAAATAATTTAAGGGAGAAAAGTTGAGGGGTGTCACTGGGGAAAAGATGGAAATTTGTCCCAAGTGTTGAAGTAAGAGAAAATTATCATCAGCATTGTTACTTAATATTCTGACCTTAATCTTGTAAATTTGTCCTGGTCTCTTAAAAAACATAATTGCTCACATAGTAGCTAGACAATTTATACTCTTAGCAGCTGTATATGGGGGTTCCCTTTTCCCCACATCTTCACTAGCATGTGCTGTTATTTGATTGTTCTTTTTGTTTAGTTTGGTTTTGTTTGGTTTGCTTTATTTACTTTCTTGTGTTTTTCGGGGGGACAGGATCTCCCTGTTGCCCCTGATGGCCTGAAACTCACTATGTAGATCAAGTTGGTCTTGATCTCACAGAGGTCCTCCTGTATGCTGGAATTAAATGTATGTACCACCATGCCCAACTCTGTTATCTGTTTTCTTAAAAACAGCCATTCTGCTTGCAGTGACATGGCATATCTTACTGTAGTTTTAATCACCATTTCATTAACTATGTTATGGCAAAGGATGTTGAGCCTTTTTTCATGTTTACTGGCCAGCTGCATTTCACCTCTTTAGAGTGTTCTTTTCATTTCAATAGCCCATCTTATTGATTGAGTTGTTTGTTTATTTTTTGGTATATGCTTTTTTGAGTAATTTACTTTTTAATATATTTTCAATATCAATTCCATCAGATATACAGCTAGCAATTTTTTTCATTATGTAGGTTGTCTATTCAATTAATTGTCTATCCATTGTGCAGAAGCTTTTAAACATCATGCAACCCCATTTGTCAATATTTGTTTTATTTCTTGAGTATGAAGATTCCTCAAAATATTAAAAATAGAGCTTGGGCAAATAGCTCTTCCTATAAAACTATATAGAACACTTACCTAGCATGTGATGTGTAGGGTCTTGTGTTAAATCCCTAATACTGAAAAAGCACAAACAAACAGCTATACTACTCCTGGCCTATATTCAAGAGATCTCAGTCAATGTACCATAGAGATGCATGCACATCCTTTTTAATTGTAGTGATATTCACAATAGCCAAATCATGGAATCAGCCTAAGCGTCCATAAACAGGTGAATGTATAAAGATAATACAGCATATGTTCAAAATGAAATGTCATTTGGGAGGAATCAGTGCAACCAAAACATTAAAAATTAAAACGTTTATTGTTAATACTAGGGTTCCCATTTATGGACTGGGATTCAGAAGAGGTAAAGATGCTATAGCACATATTTTAAGGACTATTAAAAGCAGCATACCCATTTTCCCAGTTATGCCCTAGATCATAAGCAAAAAAAAAAAAAAATCTTAAAAGTCGGGGTTGGAGAGATGGCTCAGCAGCACTGGCTGTTCTTGCAAAGGACTAGAGTTCGAATCCCAGAACCCATGTGGCAACTAACAACCGACCACAACTTCAGTTTCAGGGGATCTGACACCCTCTTCTGTCCTCTGTGGGCATTGCATGACGTGTGCTCTACAAACCTGCAGGCATAGCACTCATATAATAAAATAAAAATAAATAAATAGATTTTCAAAACCTTAAAAGTGAAAAACAATGCAGAGAGAATGAGAAAGAGATTTGTGCATAACTAAGAATTTTTGTTGGAATAAGAATATCACGACATACACTGGAAATATTTGTAGTGTAGTGGAAATATTTGTAGCTGTAAAAACAGCTGAGAGATCAATATCTTCAAAAAAGAATATTTGAAAAATCAATCTAAAAAAAAAGACAGGGAATCCAATAAGGAAATTGCTATGTTTTATAAGTAAGCAATGTACAAGTGAGAAAAGCCTGAAAATAATCAAACAAGTAAATGAAAAAATTTAAACAGACACTAGTAATCAGATAACACACAAATAATTAAAATGAGAAACGCCTGCCACTAAGCAGAACAAAACTTAGAAAATAAGATATTGTTAACCTGTGTATCACATCTTTTGCATAAGTTTCTTGCTTCCCCAAACACCACCACTGAAAGAAAAAAGGGGACTTGAATTCCAAGAATTAAAAAATACAAAGCAAAGGAAAGAAAGAAAAACTCAAGTAATGAACTGATGCCAGATGTGCAAATCCCAGGATACAAAAAGAAAGGTCATAAAAGATCAAGAAAACATGTCTCCTTTACAAACCACTAATCACATAATGGCATCTAATAAAATGACTTGGAAGAACTACCAAAGAATTCTCAAGAATGATTATAAATATGTTCAGTTTTTAAAAATATATGAATATACTTTAAGAGAAAACAAAGAGATGAATAAAGTAAAGAAAATAAGTCAATCCAAGATATGCAAATAGAGATATAATTGCTGAAGAAAATCATAAATGAAAAGATGCTGGAATTTAAAAGCTTAATATGCCAAATAAAAATGTTAGTAGAAACTCGTACCGATATAATATATCATGTAGAAAAGAAGGAATCAGGGGTGGAGAGAAGGTTGAGGAATTGGATCATTCAGTAAAGGTCAAGGATAAATTTGAAAAGAAATATGGACAGAAAGTGGAAGAACTCTGGGACACCAAGAACACCATAGTGAAGGCAAAGAGAGTATTGTCAATAAAATCATAGAAGAAAATTTCCTGAATTTAGAGCAAGAGAGGCTCTAAATCCAAGATGCCTATGGAACTTCAAAAAGACAGGACTAGAACAGAAATTCACTACGACACATTACAGTTAAAACATTGAAATACAGAAAAATGAAAGGATATTAAAGCTGCAAGAGAGAAAAGTCAAGTCATTTACATGGGCAGGCCCATCAAAATCATACCTCATTATTTGGCAGAAACTTTTAGAGTCAGAAAGGCCAAGAGTCAAGTTCTGAAAGACCACAGTTGTCAGTCCAGACTATTATATCAAGTAAAACTATCTATTAAAGTTGAAAGGGAAGTTAAAACTTTCAAAGGAATTTATGAATGCTGAGCCAGTTCCACAGAGACTACTGGAAAGAATACTTCTCTCTGAAAATAAGTATAGACACATGCAAGAGATCACAGGGAATAAACAATCACAAAACAGTTAATTAAAAGAGATATAAAATGACAGGAATTATACAGAACTACAAAATGACAGGAATTAATACACATCATTTAATAATAAGTCTTAATACTATTAATAATAAGATCTCCCTTGAAGCTTCTGTTTCCATGGTGTTTTTGTAAGTTTTTGTCAAGCTTTTATCAAGCTTTTGAGTCTCCTAATGAGTGGTGTGTGGTATTCAGCATGTTCACCTGGCCCTCCTCTGCCTTCTGCAGGGCACCATTCTCTTCTGTAGGCCTCCAACCTCTCCAGCCAGCCTTCTCAGTGTTCTTTCCTAGATCTTATTGGGAAGTATTTTCTTCATGAACCTCATGTTTCCTTGTACTATCCATCATTGTTCCCATGGTTTAAATCTCAGTTATGTGCTGGTGACGATCACATTTACTTCCACATTTGAAACCAGTTTTCCTGCTGCCTTTGGCCACCTCCAACTGTAGTTCAGATAGACGTCCCAATATTAAATGTCCAAAACTTAGTTCTTAGTCTTCTCTTAGCCTACTCCTCCTTTGGGCCTTTCCATGTCAATCACTAGCTCCATTATTTTACAGTTGCTCAAGTGAAAAATCCTAAAATCTTCCTCAGTATCTCCACTCCATCTCTACTTGTGACTTCAGACAGAACATTTCCAAGCATGATTGATTTTCCTTGAAAATATGCCTTGGACCCATCTCCTCTGCTCCCATTCTGGTTAAGTGGCCATGGTTTCTGTCCTACTGCAGCTTCCTGATGGGGCTCTCCATACACTGTGACCGTTCTCCACTGTATAGACCAGTGACTGACCTTTGAAAACCACAAACTTGCTCTTCCACTTCTTGATTAACATATCTCAACAGCTTTCAATTACAACCTCTCCTAGTCTGTAACAAAATATGCCAAGCTTTGAAGTTTGTGAACACATAAATTTATCTCATACATTTCTATAGACTAAGCAAGTCCAAAATCAAATCATCACCAGTTCATCATTTGGAAAAGGTCTGTTCTCTGATCCATATGAGGGCGAAGATATGGTGGAGGGTCAGGGTAACTCCTTATGTTTCTTTGGTAAGGATTCTAATACTATTCATGAGATTTTCTTCTCATGAGCTAGCCATCTTCTCCTTACCCCCCAACTTACTGGGATTAGTTTTCAATATATGAATTTTGAAGGGACACAGGACATTCATTCCATAGCAAACCTTTAAGAAACTCAAAATCTGGAGAATGATCTGCAGGGGTTGCCACTTTTATGACATTATCTTGTGCCCTTTTCATGTTCTGTCCACCCTATTACTACAAGTTAGTATTATTACTAGAATTTTGCTCCTTCAAGACAAACTCTTTTATTAGCCCAGAACTTGATATGTAGCTAAGGATAACAATGAACTCCCGATCTCCCCACCTCCATCTCCCAAATGCTGGGCTTACAGGCAGGCACTACCAAGCCCTGCACTTGAAGTTACTTTTTATTCTTGTCTTTGTATGTGCCAGCTTCCCTCCTTTAAGACTTGCTCCTTCCTATTCACTTTCTCTTTGGACTGACTGACACTTTCTGATTTTCTAAGTTCAGTTAATCATAATCAGCTCTTTCTTAATTTCCCAATCTGAATGGAGTCTCTGTTAGTCTTTCAATTAATGTATGTGTTACACAACTTATATTTGTATATCCACACTTCCAATTTGAATATTTGCCTGGTTATTGTGTGCTTTTAGCCCACTGACTGTGACCCTTTAAGGACCAGGATCCTACTACATAGTGTGGTGTCTGAGGAAGAGCAGTACCAAAATCTGTTTTTTGTTTTAGCATTTTCCAATACATTTAACTATTTTTAAAACTATTAAGGAATATTTGACATGTGAAAATCTAATACTCAATGTATAAAATT